TCATGAGTCCTGACTAGTCGTTTAGTGTCTTCTTCCACTATGAGAAACACAGAAATGTTATGCAAATAAGTGCAGTGAGATGAATCTTAATGTGTGATGAAAGTGAGTAGTGTTGTATGTGCTGTGAGTTTGTGGTGTGTATGGATGTATATGTAAGTATGTGTATCACATCACATCATCACATCAACAGCCTTTAATAGTCTACTGCTAGAAATAGGCATTTCCTTAGAAATGAGGTTTTGGCCTACTATACCATGCTGGCCAGACGGGTCGGTATAGGGTTTGTGTCAAGTTTTCCTTCCTTTTGCAGTGCTGGTGTCTTGCGCTGTGTTGCACCCTTAGTCGGCTTTTACGACACCCATGGGATAATGACATTCCGTATTCTTAATCCGTCACTACACGGTTAGTATGTGTATGAAAGGTGTATATGGTGTGTCTTTAGTTTTTATAAAAATAATTTTCTAGTTTCGTCCTTGTCTGTACCAAGCAAGATTAGGGATGACTGTTTGTTAATTTACTTATTCTGTTGTATTAGAAGAATGACATTAAGACATGGTGCTGCCTGACAAAGGCTGTACGACACTTGGCGGATAAGCAGACATTTGTCATGGTACGCGTTTTATTATAATCCTCAGCTTGGTAAGGGGTGTTGCTTTGCGAGCAAATTGCAGCATATACAGTTGTCTTACAGTTAATACTTCACAAGTTGTATACAGAGATTTTGTTGGAAATCTCAAAAAATTGAAAGTTATGACTTCTTTATCTTTGTGCTTTTTCCAAATCTATCATAAATGTCTTACAAGCGCCACCCCTGACCACAATACAGTAACCAAGAACTGACTGAACCAGAGTGACAGTGAATTCACATACATGCCTTAATTGCTGAATACCCATATTAGCTTTCTGGTACGAGTTGTTAACAGGTCTATATGGGGAAACTTTCACCCACCAAAACACCAAGATATTTAACATAGTATCATAGCTCTCTCTCTCTTTTGCAGAAAAATGTCCATAAAACTCTTTACTTAAAAAGTAGTCAAGCTATGTAGGCTCGACTCGGAACTAGCACTTTGTATACAAAACAGTTTTCAGTCAAACCGGGCCACCTTCGCACAGTACGATACGACTTTTAATCGTATAATGTAAATTGCCCACTCCATGTCCCGTTCATGACATTTTACCCGTTTTTGGAAAAAGCAAGAATATTCGCAGCTAAATGCACTTAATATTAAAGAATTATAAACCGGTGGCATTTTTGTACTTCCTTGATTTTATTCTGTTGAGTCCTATGACGTAAACAGGCTGTAAAATTGCAATTTTATTACTCGGAGAGTCCGTGTGGTGACGGATTAAGAATACAGAGTGTCACCTCCCCTTTTCATCCCGTGGGTGTTGTAAGAGTCGACTCAGGGAGAAAACTACGCACAACAACAGCACTGCAGAGAAAAGGAACACTTGACACGAACCCTATACCAACTCAACAAGTTATTGAGACGAGTGAAATAGGTAGTTATATGCGGTTCTGAATGAATCATGATACGGTAGGTACCTACCTACTTACGCTTGTGTTAAAATTTCGGTGCATGTGTGTTTTGTTACTTTGCATAAATCAAAGTAAAGACGTGATATTTTATTTTTAATAATATTTGTTTATTATCTGTGTGTATGAATAATACTAGAAAAAATTTTTTACCGTCTGTGTGTCATTAGATAATGTGTGTGTTTTAGAAATTTTCACAAAGTGTTTCTGCTGCTACTATAACAGCATATACCACTAAAAACTGGTTTCATTTTCTCGGTATTAACAACAACAGCTAGACTCATGTATGATATTTAGATGTTTGAGGGTTGTGATTTTAAAACATTCGTAGTCAGCTGTTCAGCTTTTTAATAATTAATTAATTGGTGACCAAAGAGTTTTTGTTTTGAGTTGTAGGTAGGTACCTAATTTATAGAGACGTTAATAAGCTGAGATAAAAAGTTACTTACTCGTCAGCTGTTTCTTGCATTCTAGTTGAGTAGGTAGGTGTTGGAGTTTCTAAGGATTGGAGTTTTGTAACGCGTAAGGAGAAACCACATTTTTTTATTCTATAGAAGGATTTTTAAGCTATTGCATAGCTTTTATCGCGGGCTCTTAGCGCAGCGCGGCGCGGTGACCGAATCAAGAAATTCTCAAAACCTAACGAAAAATACCTGACACCACGCAGATTTTTTTTCTACCAAGTTTGTGAAAAACATTTTAATTTGGAGGTTGTATTACATTTATCAAATAGAAAACTTTTAAAAAAGAATGCCCTA